TCAGTGGGAGTCTGTAGCAGGATCTGGGCATGCTCTGATGAGCTTTCTCTTCCATGCTGTGTGACACCCCGATGGACATGTTGACCTGGTTAAAGAGGGTTCATGGTAGAGCGTCTCTATAGGCTCCGGGGCCACCGAGCCGGGCAGGTGGGAGCCCGGAGCTGTAGGTGGGACTGTAGCGGTCGGTCAGTGGAAAACAAGAAAGACAGGAAGTAACCGTACGTTCAGACAAACACAGCTATCACACACAGGCATCTTAAACACACACACCCAGAGCGAGCGAGAGATGGAGCGAGGCAGTGACAGCAGATAAAGACTGGCGATGACAGACGAGTGTGCAAACTCACAAACATGCTGTTTGTGCGCTGAACAGTGTGAGTTTGTTGTACACGTAGTCTCACAGTAATGTTACACTAAGGTACGAGAGTGAAACACAGGTCCTCGAAACATCTCAGTTTTTCCTGCTCCAGGCTCTGGATGATGTCATGGAGAGCTGATATGCCAAATATGGTAATCTCATGAAAACAGCTCTGACTGTGAGCTCAGAAGCCCCGCCCCCACCCCACCTGCAGAACAAGATTGGTCTGAGCTGTGAATCCAGGAATAAACACGAGGAAATGAGCAGAACAGGTCGAGCATCAGTGATGTGTGCTTTTATTTGTCAGTTCTTGTCACAGTCTGGGGACTACATTACCCACAGTGCAACTTCTAGCACAGACTTTGCACAAAGATGGACATGTTTGCTGTGAAGTAAAACCATTTTTTGGGAAAGTCCAGTTTTGTAGTCTCAGTTTACAGATTTAGGGTCAAGAGATGGAGCTGAGGGTGGAGCTGAGGGTGGAGCTGAGGCTAGCCCTGGGTGCAGCTCTGTCAGCCATGACTCAAAGCATGCATGATCAGGACTGGACGACGCAGAGGCTGAAGTCCTGCAGGTGCAGCGCTGACGTTCAGGGTGGCGAGAACACGAGGAACAGCTCAGCGTTCACTTCTGCTTCCAGGTCAGGTTAGAGTGGCACCACCCACACACACCACCCGTCATCCTGCCACTCTGCGGAGGGAGGCCGGTGGTGTTTTGGATGAAAACGTCCCACACTGAGGACAAATGTCAAACGACAGACCTCGTTGTGTCGGAGACCAGAAACCCGTCCATCTCTGCCCGGGTGGCCTTGAGGTGCAGTCGCTGCAACGCTGAGGAAACATCGTGTTTCACATGAAACCCGGAGTTCCCAATGTGAGAGCAGGCGTGGATAGACCTGACAGTGGGGAACACCGGGAGTGCTCTGACCGGTCGGCCCTGCAGGCTCAGGCAGTGAGCCGATGCTCCCGCAGAGCCTGACTGACTCCAAATCCAGCCTGTAATTAAGCATTTCTCTGTGGTTATTTTGCAGCGCCATGAATCGTCTCTCCAGATAAAAGCGCGACTTTCCCATAATTACAGGCGGCAGCTGAGATGCAGTTTGGTGACAAACCGGACGGCTTTAAAAGAAGGTTCAAATCAAACATTTAGACATCCTTTCATTGGCTGAGGAGTTGACGGCCACTCCAATCGGGGGCTTGATACAAAGCGAGTGATGGCTGCAGCGCGGTGGGAGGTAGCAGCTTTCAAACGCAGTGGTTTTAAAATTCCTCACCTCTGAATGAATCCCGGGAGCTGCTCGTGCCCAGCGGGGCGGGGCCTGTGCCGGGGGAATGGCAGGAATGTCGCTGTCATGTCTGCACACGTCTTCTGTGTGTTTGTGTCGCCGCTCGTCTCTCCCATCACCCTGCAGTTCAAAGGTTTCTGCACGCTGCCCACCTCCTTCCTGTTTCCCTGAGGTCGTCCATCAGCGCTGAGCTGCGTGTGTGCGGCTTGTTCTCCCAAGCGAGCGGTGCTGAGAGGCTGAAAGAGGAAGGAGGAACTCGTCTGTAGATCCCAGAGAGACGGAGCCTCGTCTCGTTCCTGCTGCAGGTGTTACTCACAGCTGAACACAGAAATCTTCTTCTGTGTGAGCAACGCTGAACCTTTAAACAGGATTTCATTACATGTATGTTATTTAATAATCTCTTTTCTTTTGGGGAAAACGAGCATCGAGTAGTAAGTCCACTAACGTCGGTGCGTGACCTCTGACCTGTGAGCTCATCGCTGTCCCTGACTGTTTGAAACAGCCAGTTTTCAGCAGGCAGCGAGTTCTTTGAAGGCCGATGTTTGGGCTGCTCTTATCAGCAGACGCAGACGAATGTATCCGAGTTTCTGTGATAAGATTCAGCGATTGAACCAAAAAGTATTTTCTTTGATGTTTACTCCGAGAAATCTCGACTCCCTGAGTACTCCTGAGGTCGCATGACTGTTACTGATGTTTTCCAAGGACACCGTGGGAGTGGGGTGTGTGGGTCAGTGAGATCTGATAGCAGGATGGGCTCATACTGCAGCCGCTGTGTGTGAGTCACCCAGCGGTCTGTTTCTCTTGCGTTGGCCTGAGATGAACGAATCTTTATCGAGACTGAGTCAGAATCACAGCAGCCATTAAAGCGCGTCAGGCGTAATGACGGCTGCTGCTCTGCAGGTAGAGAAGCAGGCGAGCCATCGACGCCGTGATGCGAGTGTTGAGGAGGCACGAACGCCGGGGTTGTAACATTAGCAGCCGTGCGCTCTCTGACCTTTCACCTTTCTAACCTCTAAACGGAAACTGTGCTAGCAGCTGGTGGAGACTGCAGCTGGGTCGTGTTACACGTTATCGTGTTTGAACATCTCACGCTGAACGTTTTCAGCTGACAGCACGGTTTGTTTGAAGGTCACGGCTCCTCGCCGTCAGCGCGCTGCTGCAGAGACACGCCGTCAGTGCTAATCACTGTTTTCTGTTTCTTTGTGTTTTTCAGTGCGACCTCGCCGTACTAAAGAAGACGTCCTGATTGCTGCCGGTAAGTCTGATCTGTGGGTGACGTAATGCACACTCAGCTGTGTGTTTGAGAGCAGCTGCTGTGGACACAAGAAGAGACACTGACACATTTTTACAGTGTGACATCAGCAGGAGCGTCCAGGTGACGGTCTGAGCGGGAGCTCCTGCTGCCGTGTGTGTGTGTGTGTGTGCGTGTGAGCGCGTGCGTGTGAGCGCGTGTGCGAGCGCGTGTGCGAGCGCGTGTGTGTGTGTACGTGTGTGTGTGTGTGAGCGCACGTGTGTGTGTGTGTGTGTGTGTGAGCGCACGTGTGTGTGTGTGTGTGTGTGTGTGTGTGTGTGTGTGTGTCGTGGGGATTCGTTTCTCACACCTGAACAGAGGAAAATTGGACAGATCCCCAATTTTAGGACCAGTCAAACATTTCTAGGCGGATAAACCGTCATGATGTCATGCTGCTGAGCACGCTTTGACTGCAGCACGCTACGTTACCAGCTGATGCTGACTAAGGCAGCGTAGCTGCTAATCAGTGCTGAGAACCAGCCTGATAACATCCTCAGTGCTGACACGGCCATCCTTTATGTACAGTCTGTAGCCTGACGCTGTGTTCTATTGGCTGCTCGCTGCTGATGCAGCAGCTCCCAAGGCCGTCCCCACGGCTCGAGCTAACACAGCCCCGTGTGTGTGTGTCTGTGTGTGTGGATGATGCACCCGGGGTGTTGATGACATTTATTCCTCCTGAAGGAAATGTGTGAGATGATTGGTCTGCTCACCAAAATAAAAGCATTCACAGGAAACAGTTAAAATCACAAGTTTAATCAAAAAGCAGAACAAATAATAAAACAGAGAAATGGAGAGCAGCACCGCTGAGCTCAGCTGTGATTGGAGGCTGACCGCTGTTCAAAACAGGAAATGAAGATGTATTATTATTATTATTATTATTATTATTATTGCACGGTGAGTGAATCCCCACAGTCACATGACCCTCTGTGTGGAGGATGTCGGTGAACTCCATTTTAACAGGAAGTGACCTGTTGTATTTGTGTCTGCTAGTTCAGCTCCTCGTGCTAACAGGCTTCCATG